CAATACAATTTTCTTTGTCTCTGTTTTATTTATAGTTAGACTCTTGGACATTTCTACATCATACACTCCATGACACAATTTCTTGTGGTTTATTTTTGCCTGAATCTTTATGGTAGGTACGAAATTAGGTTTTTAAAAAAATGTTCTTCCCTCTACATTTGGATGGGTATAGCGGTTAAGGACAGTAAGTACAAGAAGGTAAGGGCATGAGATAAAGAGAAGGAGACAGAAAAAAGAGGAGAGAAGAAAAGAAGAGGAAAGAACTCGAGAACAATTTTGGTGTTGGTTAAATTTGTTAAACATGCTATGCAATCTTACCTTAAGGAGTTTAGGACAGGTAGAAGCAATGGTTTGAGAACTGGTACAGTGCTGAAAAATGGGTATTGTGGGGAGTGGGGATAAGGTGGAAATTATGGTTAAATGGGCAAGGCTTTAAGGATTTCCAGATCTTTCAGAGAGGAGAATGAATATATGCAAAGTCTAGATAAAATCCTCAGGACTCATGAGAACCCATGTTCTGAGGTAATGAAGCTTGGGCCTACAATAGTTACAAGAACTACCAAAAAATTTTTTGCTTTTTAAAAAAATTAGGGTGAATAAATATTGCTTAGATATGTTTGGGGTTGGAGTTAGGAAATATAAAGTTGGTAAAGCAGGACAAAAAAGTAGGGGGGGTGGTTCTTGAGGGACAAGGACTGCTGTTTCACTTGTCTCCCTGCAGCCCCAGGCTCTGCACCTAGCACCAAGAAAACATTCAAATGCTTGTGAGTAAGCAGATACGTGGATAAATGAATAAACGAAGTAGCAAAAATCAGAATTTGTGGGCTATTTTAAAGAACTCCAGAGATGCTACAAATTTGCAAGGGTAGGATGACCATGGAGGGAATAGTTCAGTTTCACTAGATATATTTGTTAGCGGTATACTCTATGCTCTGCACCTGCACTTGGGAAGGATAAGGCACAGTCCCTACCCTTACACAACTCACAACCCTGTATGTGCATAGGGAAAAATAGGTACATTAATGACAACAATGTAAGATTGAAGATCATCATATGGCAAGGAAGAGGTAAAACTAAAGTATGAGAGAAAGCATTTGAAGGAGAACACGTCTTATAGAATGGGAAAAGGTTAGAATAGCCAACATTGGGGATGTGATATTTGACATACATCTTGAGGCACTGGTAGACTTTCCACAGACAGGGGCATTTCAGGAAGAAGAAATAGCGTAAACAAAAGCATGGAGCTGGGAAATGTAGGATAGGCCCAGGAGGGCAGACTGTGATCATATGAGGAAGATCTTGAATGCCAGGCTAAGGAATCTGTGTTTAATTGTAGGTATTGGAAATCACTTACGGTTTCTGAATGAGAGAGTTATGTGCTTAAAAGCAATATTTTTAAAGAAAATGAGACTGTTAGAGATTTGAAGGACTTTGCTGTTCAAAGACTGGTCAAAGACCAGCAGCATGAACTGCACCTGGGAGCCTGTCAAAAAAGGAGACTCTCAGCCTCCGTCCCAGACTCACCGAATCTAAACCTGCAAAGCAGCCAGAACCCCCAAGTGATCTGGGTGCACATTAAACTTTGAGAAGCATTGATGTCAAATACAGTGGAAGAGGAAGATTTGACTTGAGACCAGTCAGAGGACTAGGCCAAAGAGAGATAAACAAAGGTGAGAGTAGCAGACACACCAAGGCTAACGCGGTTGCCCAGAAAGGGAGAAGCCACGAATGACGCAGAGCTTTCAGGCTGGGTAGTGATGGCCTATTTCTGCCTCACTCATTTTCCTAATATATTAATCCTCTACCTTATTCACTAAAGTCATTGTTTCCCTTTAGTATGTTTTCCTTCTATTTGTTCTTTCTATTCATTAGCAGGCATTGCTTCTTTCTACTTGTGTTCATAGGCCATAAAACAAATGAGAAACTTCCCGAGCCTAGTTTTTAAGGAATGCAGGTTCCAACTACTGCTATACCACATGCTGAAGTGAAAAAAAAAAAATCACAAAGAGATCAGAAGGGAGAAAGAAGAAAAGTAAAAATATCTCCTTTTGTATTTCAGGGTTTTCTTCCCTTCTGTGTTTAATACGAATCAAACAGGTGTACATTCAAAGCGTGCAAGTGTGTCTTCATCAGCTTTTAATCAGCAGTTTCAAGAAAATTCAGATCTCTCAGAAAGAGGGAAAAATAAACAGCTGAGCAGTGTGACTCATTTACACTTCAAATATACTTTGAATTGGTTATTCCTCAATTAATCAAATAGCTGGTGTATCCCTAAAGTAGTATAAAGTGACACGCTGTGTGAAATCAATTTTTCCTTCCAAAATCATTAAATCCAGTAGCCTGTGACTACATCCCTGCTAATTCTGGTACCAGTGCTTTCATCCTCCATTAACTCTGGCACGCCTAACAGGCTGTCAAGAATAATTTCCCAGGACGTAAATAATTCAGAAATTAAAAATTAATAAATAATAACAGAGAACTACTGGGAAATAGGCTGGGTCAATTAGTGCGCTCTGCATTCTGTTTCTTCGCAGCAGGGGGGGCGGCCGCGTTCGTTACTTGAATCTTTCCTTCGATTCTGAGGTCTGATTTACAGCTCTTCATTACTGGATCCAGTCAGACACAATTACCTCCATCACTATCTCAGTTCCTAACTTCAAAGAAACGAGCGTTTTCTTGTCTGCTTTTTTTCTCCTTGCAGCAGGCTCAGCTTGACATCCCTGGAATTTCTTCCACGCAGACTAATTAATAAGTCTTCGACTTATCATATTCACTTCTCTTCTTTGATGTGCTACCTTAGTCAATCATCCCATTTAATTAGAATTTCAATGATAACTTTACTTATCTTGTGGCAAGACGTAAATTAAAATAATGGGATTTTAATTCTCTTTCGTATGGGGTTATGACATTTTGGAAGAGAAAGTTTCGACACAAACATGATATTATGTACTTCCTATGCGGGGGTAGAGGAGCATTCTGCAAAATTATTTTCCTCTTGCTACAGAATAGTATTGCTGTTGAGCAAGCAATAATGGAAATGCACTGGATTTTTCTATAGCATCATCTCATCAAATCCTTCACAGAAAAAAAATTACCTTGATTAGCATAAATAATTGGAACAAGGTACAGGTCACATTGCCAGCAAAGGCAGAGGCTATGTTTTGAAGAAAAAAGTAACTCCAGAAAGTCAAGGCTTTGATATACTAACCCTTTTAACTCTTTTTGCCCTTGCCTGTCAACCCAGGCTAATTTCCATTTTAGTAAATTCTATACCAGTTTCTTTAGACTTCTTCCCCAAGATGCCACAGGGAATAAAAAGGTTCTCTCAAGAACATAACAAACATTAGCAGAGCATAGGATATGACATTGATGTGCAAAATTAGTTAATAAGGAGAGCAGAAGCAGTGTTTCATTTCTAGAAAACAGTACTAAGACCAAGATTTATTAAGCTTCCACTGTGTGCCAGCCTCAGTCATATGCTTTACATCTGTTAATTCTCCAGGCATACCTATAATATAGGATTATTATCCCCATATTACACATAGGAAGACAGTCTCAGTGAGGTTAACCTGGCCTTTCTAAGGTCACAAGGTAGCACATGAGGACTGAAGAAATAGAGAATGCATGAGAGAAATAGCATTTAAGTCTTTGAGCATAACATTTAAACCCTCCCATGACCTGACTTCAAACTGTCTGTCTGCCAAACTCCTGTTCTCTCTATTCTATTATATAAACTCATCCAAAATATATCTCCAGGCACTGACCCAGTGCCAGAGTATAGCATAATATATACCTTAATACATTGTTGATGGCTGCTTTAATGCTTACAGACATTGGCTGAAATTCAGTCTTTGTAGTCATAGTGATCTCAATCATCATAAATACATTATTTTAAAATAGCAAATACAAACAGAAAGTCATATATATATACATATATATACACAAGTTTTAGAATAAGAAAATAAGCTTTTCCCACATTTTCTCGTACTGTTTTTTCCCAGGAATAAAATGATTAGCTTTTTGTTTGTGGCTTTTAAAAAAAGGTTACTAACAATAGGAACATCAATGGTAATTATTCCTTCCTTGATCTCTCAATCTCTCCCCTCCTCTACACTCAATACAATGTCCAGTAAGACAACAAACAGAGGTTACAGTGACCAACAGAAACTTATTTCATTAGTTAGACACGAAACCACTGCATTAATGCCATTTTGAAGCTAACCTTTCAGGGATTTAATACAGTTGTTCTTTAACAATAGAATTTGGTTCATTTGCTACTTAAGACATGATTATTTAAATTAAAGTTAATTGGTTTCCTTACTCTCCTTTAGGGCTTTAGGCTCAGAACATTTCTATTAGAAAAACCTAATTTGTCTCAAATTCCTATTTCTAAATTTTAGACTGGTTAAAATGCTCTGATATTTTAACTCTTTCTAGCAAAAATTTTATTTAAATTACAGCTCAAACTGGCAAAGCAACCAAAGATGCAGGTGACACAATTAGCAAAAGGGCTCAGGAGTAGTTCAGGAGACTTGCAGCGACTGTGTAAGATGAACAGTCGTCTTCTGCCAGGGCCTCTCAGAGGCTGAGAAAGGCTTGGGCCACTCCTGCTACTTTTCTTGAGGTTCTCAAGTGGCAATTTAAAAAGGAAGACACGCCAAAGCAAGATTACTATGACATATTTTAAGTGTTTACATTGGACCACTTAATGATTTTAATACACAAAATACAGTGTAATATAATTGAGCTATTCACAAATAATCACAGTACTAATAAAATTCATTAATTCATGGAGCCCTGCAGGCTGTGACACCAAGTTACAGAACAAAGCATACAAGTTCTATAGTGAAAGTCTTTCAGTCTTCCTGTATATCAATGACTATAAATATAATCTAATTTAAATAATATAATATAACCTAATATAAATAATCTAGAAATAATGTTAAATTCTTAACTTTAAGTTCTTCTGGAGTATGTGGTGCAAGTCCAAATGCTCTCACCATTCTTGATAAGCTCCAGTCTCATCCATTCACTTAAAAATTTTCTTACTGTTTGGCAGGCATTGCTCTAGGAATTAAAAATGTATCAGTCAACAAAAATTTTTTTAAAGGACAAAACTCCCTACCTCGTGGAGCATAGTTCTAATGGAGACAGACAACACATAATAAACACAATAAGCAAATATATAATATATAGAAAATGATAAGTGCGGGGGAAAAAAACAGGGTGGGAGGATCTATAAGGGCCAATAAAGAATAGAAATGTGCCATTTAAATAGGATAGTTAGGATAGTGAACTGAAAAGTTATCTTGAGCAAACAAGTAAAGGAAGTAAGAGTAAGCCGTGCTGATACCAGGGGAAGAGAATTCCAGGCAGAGGAATGGCCAGGGAAACAGGAACACCATGATGCCCTTGTGTGAATCAGAAAGGGTGCTGCTTCCCTCCTCCCCATATTATTGACTAAGTGAACTGATCTGAGGAGAAAACTTAAATTGTCATCTTAATAGATACTGAGAAGAAAAGGAGCAAATTCAACACCTATTCCTGATAGTAAAAAAATTTTTAAGAAATAATAATCAATGGCTATTTCTTTAACACACGACTTAGTGAAGAAACACTGGATGCTTTCCTGCTAAATTCAGGAAAAAGGCCATTACCTACACTACTATTTAATATTATGTTTGAAGCATCAGCCAATGGAATTGAACAAGAGGCTTAAGCATTAGAAAGAGGTAAAATACCTAGATAATTATCTGGAACCCCCTCCTAAAATTAATAAAATTAAATACCAATAATAAGAAAATGAAGTAAGGCAGTAGAATATAAATTAATAAAAATCACAGCCTACAATAAAAAAAAGTTAAATGGAGCAATGGAAAAGACAATGCCATTTATATTAGCAAGAAAACAGATTAAATACCTAGAAATAATCTCAATAAAAATGCACAGGCCTATATGAATAAAACTTTAAAAATAAAGATGAATAAATAGAAAGAGATTTCATGTTTTTGGATAGGATGACTCAACATAATAAAGAGGTCAATTCTCCCCAAGTTAACACATAAATATAACATAATAAAAATGTCAACAAGTTTTTGTCTGGAGCTAAACAAGTTGAATCTAAAATTTGTATATGAGTAGTTATGTACGACCTAAAATTACTCTTAATTTTTCACATAAAATATCCTGAAATCAATAAAAAGCAATCAACCACATGAGGCGAGAAGACAACAAAAACCAAGGGAAATATCAGACAATAAAAAGACATCCTTGGGGCATTCAGATAATGAAGTGATCAGTTACAAAACATTAAAATAATTCTCCTAAATATACTCAAGAACTCGAGGAATAAAAATCAAGATTGAAAATTTCTGCAGAGAATGAAAAGTATAAACAGAGAAATAAATGAAAAAATTACACCTAAAAAATACAATAACTGAAATGAAAAACTCATTGGAGTGATACTGACAAGAGAATTAATGAACTGGAAGACAGTTCAAAAGAAAACAGAACAAAGCATGGAAAAACAAAATGATAGTAAATATTAAGAGTACAGGAAACTGTGGAAGCTTTAAAATATAATCCTAAAATCACTGACACTCTATTCATCAAGGGGTGAGGATATATGTCTTCGAATGTCAGGGGCTTGTGGCAGCTTTGACCAATGGTGGAAATGATGCTATGTAGCTTCCAAGACTAGATCATAAATGGCCGTGCAGCTTCTACTAGTTCTCCTAGAATACTTGCTTTTTAGATGCTGCCTCTTGAGAGGCTCCCTCTCAGAACCCAGCTGCCATGTGTGAGAAGCCCAATCCCCATGGAGAGGCTATGTATAAGTGCTCTTATTGACAGTCTCAGGCTAAGCCTAGCTTCAAGGTATCTCAACCTAGGAATTAACTAAAAAATTGTTTAGATGATTCCAGCCTCCAGCCATTCAAGTCCACCTCCACTCATCATGAAACAAGGACAAACCATTCTCACTATGCCATATGTAGAAATTCCTGACCCATGGAATCCATATGCATAATAAAATGGTGGTTATTTTATGCCACTAAATTTGAGATGGCTTGTTACACAGCAACTGATAACCAGAAAAGAGATCTACAGATACAGTGATAAGAATACAGTGCGTAACTAGAGTCCCAAAAGGAGAGAAGAGAATGGGGCAGAAGCAATATTTGAATAGATAATGGCTGAGAATTTTCTAAAACTCATGAGAGATATCAATATATAGATATAAAAGATCCTACAAGCCCCACAAAAGAAATAAAGAGAAAAGCATGCCTAAGCACATCATAGTAAAATTACTGGAAACCAAAACTAATGGAAGCCCAACCTAAAGAGAAAATGTTACAAAGGGCAGCCAGAAAAAACAACAACAACAAACTTTCCTTTAAAGGAGTAAAAATAAGAATAATTTGACTTCTCAACAGATCATGGTAGCCAAAAAACAATAAAATGATATTTTCAAAGTACTGAAAAAAAAACCTGCCAATCTTGAATTCTGTATTTAGCATAGCAGAAGTTAATTCTAATTTTGGCTTCGTTTGTGGTCACCTGATTAATAACCTTAGTTACATCTGCAAAATCCCTTTTGACGTGTAATATAACATAATTACAAGAGAACCAACATGGGGCAGAAGTCATTGAGGGCCATCTTAGAACCCTTTGCCTTTGCATACCACATGTACTCCATGACCCATCAATTCCAGATCTAGGTGTATACCCAACTGAAATGTGTACATTATCTTCACCAAAATACAAGTACTACAATATTTACAGCAGCACCATTCATAACAGCCCAAACTTGGAAACTACTTGATGTCCCTCAACAGGAAAACAGTGGTATGTTTACTCAAAGGAATTCCACATAGCAATAGGAAGAAAAAATAATATGCATGTATCTTACAAACATAATTTTGAGCAAAAGAAGTCAGATATAAATAATACTTTTCATTTATATAAAGAACTAAAATTGGTAAAACTTTATGGGGCAGAAGTCAGAATAGTGGTTACCTTTGGAAACAGGGAGAGAGAATGTAAGGGGCATAGAGAGGACATTTGGAGTGCTGATAATATTGTGTCTTCATCTAGGTGCATCTAGTTTGTGAAAAATTTATCAAACTGTAAGGGTATTATTTGTGTGAAGATTTTTAATTACTGCTTCAAACAAATCTTAGAAAGTCCAAAAGAATCTTTACACAAATTACTAGAAATAATAGAAGAATTTATCAAGATGGCAGAAGGTAAAATTAATATACAACCAACAGGATTTCTATATACCAGCAACAAAAAACTGGACTATCTAGTTTAAAAGACACCATTCACAATAGAATTAGAAAATGTCAAGTACCTAAAAATTAATCTAACAAAAGGCAAATCTTTATAGACAAAGTATTAAATTTATTAAGGGCCATTAAAGAGGACTTCAATATACAGAGAGATATGCTATATTTATACTTATGAAAACTTCATTTTATAAAAATGTCAATTCTCTCATTTATCCATAGATTCAATACAAATCCAAACAAATTCAGATTAGCTGACTCTAAAATGTATCTGGAAAAGAAAAAGTCAAGAATTTTCCTTCTGAAAAAGAAGAAAAGGTAGTACATATTTGCCCTTCCAACAGTCAGGATTTACTAAATTTAGAGAGTATAGAACTCACAAAGACAAGACCAGTGGAACAGAGAGTCAGAAACAGATCCACACATATATGGAACACTGGTATATGACAGAGATAACATATTAGATTGGTGGGGGAAAGGGACTATTCAGTAAATAAAGTTGGGAAAAAATGAGGTTAACATATGGAAGGGAAGAAAACTGTATCCCTAACTCACTATACACAAAAGTCAACTCTAAATAAGTCGTAACAAGACTTTAAATCATCAGTAGAAAATCTAGGTGAATATCTTATACATTTTTGAGTAGGAAAGGGTTTTAGAAATAAGACACAAAAAGCACAAACTCAAAAAAGATAAATTTGATATTAAAATTAATAACTTTTACAAAAAAATCCCTTAAATAAATAGGTGTTAAACCTCAAAGTTTCACAGCCCAAGACAGAAAAAAGTGAGGTAGGTTAGTCTTATTTCAATTTTACAAAAGTTTATGAAATATCTAGTAAGTGTACACAGAAATTAATCAACAAAGAACTAAAAGAAAGATTAATAGAAACAAATGAGGTTTTTGGAAATGTTTAATAAGATTGCCACATCTCTGGCAAAACTGATCAAGAAAAAAATGCAAATACAGATTGAAAGAGAAGAAAAGTCATGTTATAGAACTGGGTTAAGTATAATAAGGGAAACTGATTGTGAGACCATTATTTTTATCTACTGGCGTGGAGGTGGGCACGGAAAGCTAGGTAGCACACACTAGGTACACTACAGTGTGCTTAGGGCTCCCATCTTCTGTTATACTCAACTGCCCAGCATTCTCCCGAAATAGAAAGAATATATATTCCAAGTAAATGCATTCATTTGTTCATTCATTAAGAAGCCACATTTAACTCTCTATCCAGCCTCCATCTTAATGCCTGGTACAGAGACAAAAGGGATTCCAGAGGACAAAAAGTGAAGGACTGGGAAGGAGAGACGTAACTATGACAAGGTCAGGGAGAAGCAGCTATGTGAGAGTAGGCAAAGGGGGGGATACAACCAGAGCCTCCCATCCCATGTGGCAACACAGATGGCAGTGCTGTGAGGCATGATGGGCAGGGTACCTGCCCTCAGTCACTTGCCTGCTTTCTCACCTCGGTAACTGAACTGGAAAACCTAGAAGGGAAACTGAGTGGACACTGGGATACTCTATTCAAATTCTCTTCTGGGTCAAGGATACTGGCTGGGTCACTGCATCACTGGACATTGCTCTCAGATTCAGGAAACAGCTTCACCCATGGTCAGGGAGCAGCGAGACCAAAGACTGGCTGATATGGGTCAGCAAAAGTCCAGCTTCTCTGCCAATTTGGGACAACTAAGAGCCCGCCTAATTCCAGGGCTCCCTGTTGGAACAGCTGAGGTCTCAGTTGCAACCACATTGAGGGTCCCCCGGTCCTACGTTCCTCACTTCCTCACGAGAGCATTTTTTAAGAGTACTCTCCCGTAGCCCAGCATATAACTCTCTCAGTATGTTTCCAAGGAGCCTAATTTGAGATTAAAAATGTAACGACCCTTTTAAGCATTCTTCCTTAGAGCCTAGGTGAAGTGTTCTTTACTTTTTTGGAGGTCATGAACCCCCTTGACAATATAATGAAAGCTAAGAACTCTCTCCTCAGAAAAATACACATAGGCATTAAGAAATGTAAACTTTTACATGCTATTTTAGTGGGTTTTATTCCTTCCTCCACATCTTTGAGATGCAGCTCAAACTCTACCACCCATGTGAAGTCTCGAGAAACTCTATATATAATCTTAAGATTAGCCACCATTTACTGAGCACTCACTCTCTACAAGGCACTGTGCTAAGTGCCTTAACTTTATGATACCTTTGATCACGACAAAACTCTGCAGGGTAGTTACTAATACCTTCTTACAGATTTAAGGGCTCGCCCAACGTAACACAGATAATAATTAGCAGATATGGGATTAAAATCCTGATCTTGTAAAGCTTGTGCTTTTAATGAATGACAAGAAAAAGAAAGGGCGGTTAAAGGCAGCAACTCCTCGAAGGTCACCTAATGATAACTGTCAGAATTGGGATTTAAACCCAGGTCTAACCCCAGATTTGACGCTCTTTAGGTTAAATGTGTCATAGCGCCCATGAGAACGGAAAAAACCTGATTTTGTCGCACCTCTGCCCTATGCAACTCCTTTGTCATTAGCGTTTGTTCCAAAAGATCTTTCTGTGGCGCTGTCCCGGACGGCTGAGGCGCATCCCGGCCCGCGGAACCGCGGCACGTCGCTTTACGTACAACGTGGCGGTGCTATGAATCCCCGCCCACTAAAGGGAACTGCTTACCTTCCGTACAACATGGCGGCGTTCTCTCCGCCTCGCCTCTTCCTATGACGTAACTTCCTATCATGCGCAGTCATATTTGGCCTTTGAACTCGCTGGCCCTTCCTTTTTCCTCTTCCGGGGACCGATCTAGAGGTATGGATGCTTTTTCTTTCTCCTGTCGCTACTGCCTTTAGAATCGGCCGCCATCCGAGGAGTTGCCGGAGCCGGGATCTCTCAGGCACAGTCGTTTGAGCTGGCGTGGGAGTAAGGGCTCAGAAGGAAGGTTGGTGGTGTGCAGTTCCCCGGCTTTTAGCTTCAGTCTCCACTCCGAGCAGTTAAGTGGCCTCAGCTCACCACCACTGACTTTGCCGCCTTCGCCTGCGGCGTTCGGAGACAAACGAGTTGTATTCCGGCTGGTTGAGACAGCGAAATCGCGGAACGTGCTCGTATCTTAGGCCCACGTTTTAACCCCGCGTCTGAGGCTGTTCTCTAGGCTTTGGGAGGGCCAGTGACTGGCATATTCGGATCATTTCAGAGTGTTTTCTTTTCCAAGACCAATAGCATGGAAGATAAAAAATGTTTTAATAGGGCAACATGGACCTCCTGTACAGCACAAGAAACTATATTCAGTATCTTGTAATAACCTCTAATGGAAAGAACCTGAAAAAGTATGTATGTGTATAGCTGAATCTCTTTGCTGTACACTTGAAACATTGTAAGTAAACTATACTTAAATTTTTAAAAAAAGTTTTAACAGGAAGTTTCCTGTCTTGGTTTTCGAGAGGCACACGGACCAGCGGCTGATTGGGTCACTCGCCCTGGCCTTCCGTGTTGGTTTTGGTTTCTGACAGTTACAGTATAATGATAGTAAGGAACTTGTAACAACAAATGCAAGTTTTTTTTTTTTAAAATAACACGTGATGAAATAGTTAACAAGATTTGGGATAATAAATTAGGTTGGCTCAAGTCTTGCTTATGTTTTGAAGAGCGAAGTCGTTCGTTTGCGTAGCTGTATAACCGATTTGCTAAAAAACATCATTCAGTAGTACTTCTAGTTGTTAAGTGTGGGCTGGGGGACCCAGTTAGCTGCCATAATCCAGAGACGTTTGGTCCAATACCAAAATTAATAAAAATAGCACTTAACTTGACCCAGGTACTGTTAGGAGCAAAACATTGAACGCCGAGCAACTACTATGTGGGCAGGCGCTATGTTGGTCAGGATGCCTCTTGTCATTTAATCCTAATGACAGTTGTGTGAACTAGGTAAAAACTATATTTTAGAGATAAGGAAGCCAGCTCCTGGCGCTTTATATTCCCAGTAAATGGCATGGCTAAGGATTCAACTTAAATTTTCAGGTGTGCTCTTCCTTTAAAACCAGCGTTTCTCAAACTTGCCTTTTGGTAGCAATTTTCCAGACACCGCTCCAGACGGAATCAGTTTCAGTGGGAGAAAAACCTGTAATTGTAACCAAGTGCTCTGTATTTGGTTACCATTAGGAAAACAAACATTGCCTCTTAGCATTCTTACCAGTTACCTTTAGATGTAAGTGTAGCCATCCCTGAGTATCCTGGGGGATTGTTCCAGGGCCCCTGAGAATATCAAAATCCGCTGATACTCAAGTTTCCTTATGTAAATCCTCCCGTGTACTTTAAATCATCTCTAGATTACCTGTAATAGTAATACAACATAAATGGCTGTGTAGACAGTTGTGGGCACGTGGCAAATTCAAGTTTTGCTTTTTGGAACTTTATGAAATTTTTTTCCCCAAAGTATTTTTGATCCACGGTTGGTTGAAACTGGGTGCAGAACCTGTGGATACAGAGGGCCAACTGTAGTTTTAAAATACAGACTCCTTTTCATGAAATATCTTAATATAAGGTTATTATATTTAAGAATGTACATGGATAATAAGTAAACTTTGTGTTGCTGTTTTAAAACTTGAATTTTTTCTACAATGCGGTTTTATTTCATTTTTCTCAATTTAGGCATTCAGAATGGTCCAGCGTTTGACATACCGTCGTAGGCTGTCCTACAATACAGCCTCTAACAAAACTAGGCTGTAAGTATTTCCAGAATTTAATATACGTACTATCATTTATTCTGCAAGGTGCTGAGCTATTGCCTATTCTTTCACTTCCTAGGTCCCGAACCCCTGGTAATAGAATTGTTTACCTTTATACCAAGAAAGTTGGGAAAGCACCAAAATCCGCATGTGGCGTGTGCCCAGGCCGACTTCGAGGAGTAAGTGAACCTTTTGCTGTGAATAACATAACAAGGGTTGAGCTTTTGAGCATTAATTCCTTGGTAAGGGAGAGAGGGATGGAGAGGTCACCACTAGGAGGGTTGAGAATGACTAAGCATCCATGATCCAAATCTATGAAGGACATAGACTTTCTTTTAAAGCCTATATGACAAATTCAGTGAAATGCCTTTCAGATAAATCAGTTTATCATTTCCCTCTGTAACCTAGTTTAATGTTTACACTTAACACTTAGCAAAAATCTGGGACAATTTCTGTTTCTGTTAAAGCATCTCAAAACAATCTCAACATTTTTTTATGCAGGTTCGCGCTGTGAGACCTAAAGTTCTTATGAGACTGTCTAAAACAAAAAAACATGTCAGTCGGGCTTATGGTGGTTCCATGTGTGCTAAATGTGTCCGTGACAGGTAAATAATAATGAATGACTATCTTAAACAAGTGTATGTGTTGCATTGCATGCTAATTATTATTAGAAGACTGATAAAAAAACAACAAGTTGCATATTCTAGAATCCTTAACTAGGGATAATTGGTGCTGTACATACTAATAAATGATATTAGTTCAAATTAATTCAGTTGTGATTTGGAACATCTTTATGCTAGATGTAGAAACGAAAAGGACTTGGAGGGGCAGGTAAGGAACTCCTAGTGGTTTGGTCAGTCAGGTTGATGGAAAGTCTAAGAACAGCGTAGCTATATATAGTTCCAGTGTGGCTGGAACAGAGCATTGTGGGAGATGGTACACAGGAAAGGTAGAAACGTCACAGATAATGAACGACCTCATAAGCCAGGTTTTTAGCTTGATCTTTACAAATAGGGGAAACAATGGGTTTTGAGCAGGGCAGGGAAACCTTTGGTGTGCCAGAAACTAAAACTGCAGCAGGATGGATAGTGAAGTCTTCTTTCTACTAAAGATGAGTGGTTGGAAGAGTTTCTCTACTTTGTGAAGGCTAAGGAAATGACACCTACATTAAGACCTGAAGGCTGGACGGGGTTAGAGGTGGGGTTATTGGGAGAGGACGGGGTCTTGTGACTGTTAAAGGACTGGTAGTAGCATAGGTAGGAGTGGAAGCAGGGGGTTAATAATGGTGACCTTTGCTCAGCATTTTTATGATAAACTGTCAGAAGTCCACCAGGGAGGTGTTTTCTATTCTCATTTTTTGTGGAGAAACCAAGGCTTGTTGCTTAAATTCATAAAGCTGTTAAGGGGCAGCATCAGGATTATTTTCCGGATTTTGTTGAGACTCTTACTCTTAATTAACCATACTGTCTACATTAAATTGACTCCAGAGACCTAAGTGGAAAGATTTGAGAGGTGATTGACCATTGCTAGTGAAGAAATTGGTTCAGAGGAATAGTTTGCCTCCAGTTTAGTCAGCTCATTCTATCAAGTGGTCTGGCTAAGTCTGTACCAAATCTGACACCAAACGTTGCAAGTTCATTCTACCTTTCAGGAGTTAATTTGTAAGGGGATGATTAGGCATGTTAACGTTAATACAAATACAAGCTAAATAAAACTTCCATGAGATAGGAAAACTGGTTGAAGTTTAGAGGAGAAATAGCTTTCAAGTAGCTGAGAATCTGGAAATAGTATTTGAGGTGGAATCTGAATGATGGGGGAGTTTCGGACATGAGGTACAGAGGGCATTGCAGGCAGAGAATGAACATAGTTTGATCTGGCACATTGAGAGTGTAAAATGAAGATTGAGGAGTGAAATCAGAAAGGTATGTTGGAGATGAACGGATTGTGAGTTTTAAGCTACAGGAATTTGGCTTTTTACCAGTCTCTGGCTCCCAGACTTTGCTAAACATAACCACATGACCACATTTATTAAAAATACAATTTAGGCCCCAGCTTCTGGATATTTGGGTTTAGATCTATAGGATAGCGTATAGAATAGCATTGGCTGTTACGTTGAGGGGAGTCTGCAGTCTTTGCTCTGAGTAAGAGTGAGCTGTATTTGTGTAATGTAATTACATCCCAAACATTCGAAGGAGTCAGAAATCCCAGGGTTCTGAGGGTAGATTATTAGATAACCAGGGATACCAGTAGGGAGCATAGGTGGGGTAGGTTTCTGTGGGAATTAAATGAGAGCTTTATCTCTAGAGGTAGCTTTGGTTAGCAAGTGGTAATATGGACCTTCTGTTTCCAGGTCCTATGCGCAATAATAATAGTGATCAATAAAGTGCATTTTGTCTCTAAATGGAGGTTCAAAGCACAGAAATTGCAAATCCTTCCAAATTTAATATTTTTAAAAACCTTGAGAAATAGGAAATTTCTAAGACACATTGCGAATCAAGTAATACCATTAGTCCTGGATCCTAATAATGAAGTGAGGTTAAATGAAAGCTATCATAAGGAGCAGTCTGCTGTGGGGGTGATTTTATAGCTTATCATGGCTCAGAAGAGGAGGGCAGATACTACTGGCATAGAATTGAAGGGTTACCCTGTTCTAAATTCCAGTGTAGGGAGGAGACCTTAGGCTGAAAGGGTCTGTCCATATTATTCTTGCTCTTAAGTTTTAAATCTGTATTTGTATGGGTTTCATTTACTTTTCTGGGTATCTTCACTGATTGCTTTACTCAGTTATGGTACTTTTCCTACCTGTGTTAGTCAATTTTTAAAAGCTACATTCATTCAATATTTTCTTTTCTAGGATCAAGCGTGCTTTCCTTATTGAAGAGCAGAAAATCGTTGTGAAAGTATTGAAAGCACAAGCACAGAGTCAAAAAGCTAAATAAAAAAAAAGAAGCTTTTTTGAGTAATAAAGTGAAAAAGCCTTGTTCTGTTAATTTCTGTTGGTGATTTGTTAGTGTGCAGGTTTGGTTTCTGTGGTAACGAAACCCCCATGATTTTAGTTGATTACTTTTTCTGAAAGTAATTGGAGGACAATGATGGCTAGAATTTTTTGATGGCAGCTCTAGACAGCAGTAAAATAGGGACCTTAATATATTTTCTCTTAGAAACTATGTTGTATTGATCCTGGTGCCTCTTAATAATGAAAAAGTATGTAAAGGGTTTTAATAAAAGCTCATTCTTAAAGTGCTTAGACTATATCAAGCATCCCTCCAAGTATTCTACATAAGCTCTTCTGAACTCTTCTAAGACCATTTCATGAACTGCTGAGGACTTACCAGGTTTCTGCAAAATAAGTGGGTTAACTTAGCAATTTGAGGAAGCTAAAGCATTATAGTTACGTACTTTTAAAAATTTATACGTTAGATGGTTTAACCTTTTCTAAATTTGAAATGTTTTCACTTTTCAAATGAAAACTTTTCAAAAACTATAGACAGTTTAGAAAGTATGGGAAAGAATGGGAATCCCCTTTGACTTCAGTAAACAAATAATCAGTTTTAACAGTTCGGTGTCTTCCCCCGTTTCGTTTTCTAGATACAAGACATCATAAAATTGTTCATATACTATATGTGTAAATTTTCAACCCTTTCGCCCCCACTTAACAAATATGCTGTCCATAAGACTAAGGATGTGAAATACACCTGAGTGTTGACCATTCCTTCACCTGTGTTTAGCCACTGTTTTTGATCACAGACCACACTTAAAGGTCCCTTTGCTTAAGTCTCCTCTTCACCTTACACTGTCACACAGTTTGGTCCAATTCCCTCCTCTCACCCCACCTCTTGTAGGACTGGAGATTTCATCTTGTGGTGTGTACATATATAAGAGCATAGGTTGGTGTGAGCATAGCAACACTGTCCAAGTGACCAAAATGGATTCCTTACTGTTCTAGGTTTTGATTTTGTTAAAAAAAAGCGTTTTATTGAATCCAGTTCTCTGTGTGTGACTTAAAGTGTTCTTGACAGGTTCCTAAAAAGACATGTGAATATAGTCAGTGGTTTCTTTTTAAAGTCTTGGGTTTCTCCTTCCATTGAATTGCTTATAAATTCTATTAGAAGGATGGGGGAGGGGGATTTTTTCACCCTTAAATGCAGAAAATCTCCATATGTTTTAAGTAAATCGAGTTTATTTTCAGCAGTGTAATAGCATACCTGCATTTTTTTACCCTGATTTGGAGCTTGAGATCCCAGAATTTAGATAGGGCTATGTCTAGCTTATAACACCAACTAAAATCATATACAATTCTTGTGGAGTAAGATTGTGAAGCAGGGCTGAATATTATGCTTGTTCTCTGAGTTAGATTACTTATTGCTAGTTAAGAATTCTACAATTATTAGTACCAATAGAGCAAGTTGTGTGGAGTCAGCTCATCCCAGCTGTGAGAGTTAGTCATGTGCTTCTCTGTCCAGCTCTGTGTTCAGTGATGTCAGTTTGGTACCTTGATGTTGGCATGGTGGGAGTATTTACACCTGGGAAACCAAATGCTACAAAATCCTTTTTGCCCCCAGGAAACTTGATACTAAGTATTATTGGCAAGTCACTGGATATTATTTAAGTTACAATCTGTTATCACAACTTAGGTATGATGCTGTTGGCACCGGGAGCTCTACATATATCTGGTACATATTTGGTAATGATTTGCACTTAAAGTTTTTTTGAAATAAACTCTTATTATACTTTGAATCTATAAGTATTCTGGAATTTGATTTTATAAAATACAAAACAGAGCTTTTATTGAATCCTGTTATGTGAATGTAGAGGAAAATAATTTAAAATCTTGCAAAGGTAAAAAAGTTTCATCTCTAAACAATGAAAATTATGTATGACAAACACTGTATTCTAAACCAGGAGTATTAAAGTTGACTATCTTCATGAATTTCTAAAGGATAAAATCCATAATAATTCTGAATCAAAAGATACTTTCTGCCTTGTTTCCTATTCCCCTACCAAAAAAAAAAGATACTTCTGGTTTCCAAAATATTAGCATGTCAGTAATTTAGGGTAAGTCTTAAATGTTTCTGGTCAATTTGAAGGATTATGTAGATATTTTTGCCGTACATTTTACATTAGTATGTAACTTGCTTTAGATTTCATTCACCCAACAAGTATTTATTAGAAACTACTATGTTTCAGGAACTGCTGCTCAGTAAATATTAATTCAATAATCAGAGCAGACTTCCCCAGCTATGGTACATTGGGGGACCCGTAAATTGAAGATGCAAGTTTTTAATTGCACCCATTAGGATAAGAATTGAAAAGGAAAAGTACACAGTGCCGTGAAACCATGTAAGAAAGGAACATCATGGGGAGTGAAGGCAGGCTTTTCTGAGGAAGTCACCTTGAAGCTCAGAACAAGGAGATGTTAGCTGGGTGACAAGTACGGAGAACATTCCAGACATAAGAACCAACATGTATAAATGCCCTGAGTTGAGAAATAGCTTGTATACACGCTACTATATATAAAGTAGATAAACAAGGACCTACTATATAGCCCAGGGAACTATATTTAATATCTTGTAATAACCTATTATGGGACAAAATGTGAAAAAGAACTATATAAGCTGTCACTTTGCTGTACACATGAATCGTAAATCAGCTATAAAGAAACAGCTTGTGTAGAAAAATAAAAAGCAATACATGCAACTCAATTCACTCCCAATATTCAGAGCCCTGCAAATCTGATATGTGTGAGCAAGTTGAAATCACTGAGAAGAAGCATCCTTGCCAGCACACAGCTTCTAGTCCACCTGTGTGGCCCCAGAGCCAAAAGATCTGTGCCACCTGTCCCTTCCTACGGGAGACCAGTGAAAGAAGAGCTTTCCTAAATGATTTCAGTTAGGAGCAAAGACACTCCTCTGAATTAGAGGGTATTTAAATTATGCGATCCCCTAGATAATTTAGGCATCAACCTACTATTAAGGAGGAAGTGGATCAAAATTACTGACTCAATTCCCCTGATACTCATTCAACCTCTATATTCCTTGGCCTATCCAAATAGCCTCGGGGATATGCCCTCTCTCTCTCAGGTTGGAAATAAGCTTACAGTTTCACATGCCTGTAGAACAAATGGTCTTGAAAGAAAATTCAAATGTTTATTGCATCTTAGTGTAGCTTCTATAAAAGCTTTAAGCCATATGGTCTCTGTTGCAACAACTCAACTCTGCTGATAGAGTGTGGAAGCAGCCATAGACAATACAATACCTAAATGAATGGTCATTGGCTGTGTTTCAATAGAGCTTTATATATAAAACTAATATGGGGTCACACTTGGCCTGTAGGTAGTACCTTGTGGACCCTCCCTGCTCTAGAGGACTCTTTGCTTCCAGCTATAGCTGCCAGCTGATAACTGCGTAAGAAACCTCAAGTGAGACCAGCAGAAAATTGCCTTGTTGAGTCTAATCAACCCAAAGAACAGTGAGAAAAAAAATTTGTTTTATACACTTAATTTTGAGGTGGTTAGTTACATAGCAGTATACCACTAAAACAGTGGTACAGTGCAATGGTCTTTAATTTTTTTTTGCTTGCATATTCCTTAAAGAATTTTGAAAACCTATGTAGATTCATGCACATTTTTAGATTACCACCCCAAACTTTTCATTATAAATTTAAGTCATTGCAAAGGATATAATTTCCAGCATAGTAAAGATATGAATAATTTTTTAAAAAGCTGTTCTATCGCCTTTTAAAAATATCAAGGAAACTCCAGTGCCCCTTGGGATGTCTTCAGGCAACCTTGGAGATTAAAGTATGAAGTACCATGATTTGAAGATCCCTGATACAGTAGGAACAGTATTACACTGGAAGCAAAGAGATATGGGCTATAGCACTTGTTCTGCCACTAACAACTTCTGTTATCTTAAGTCACTTACCTGCTCTGGAAGTTTGGTTTAGTGACCTTGAAAGTCTCCCGTTCATGGATTCATTACTTCATTTCACCGTCCTGGTGATGAACTGGGCATCTACTAAGCTTCAGGCACTGGATGGGGCTCTGAGGGTGAGTAAGATACCACCAGTGCCTTCCAGGAGCTCACAGTTTAGTTCAGCTACTATGACTCTTGGTAGATTAGTTTAAATCAGTCTTTCAAGCCGGAACGGCACCTATGAGGCATTTTGGAAATTTTGGGAGGCATTGATGCTACACTCTGTAATGTATAGGGCATCCTGCTCAGCAAATCATCCTGAGTCCTAAATGACTTTCCAATACCCAACCAGATTTTCATGTAGGTGGCAAATCTGTTTATTGTTATCTCAGCCTTGGTAACTCCATTTAAAAGGAATATTTTTTGCATGGTTTCAATAAATACTTAAATTTCCAGGAATGCACTATGTAAAACCAGGAAGATTATATTTTTCTTCTGAACATTATCTGGAGAAATTTAACATTTTGGAAAAAAGAAAGCAAACCATAAAATTTTGAATTTCTGCAGGGTAATCTAGGATTCCCAATTTTTAGAAAAAACTACAAATGTATGGGTGAATGTGTTGATTTCTATTTTTTTTTAAATCTTTGGTGCTAATGTTGTTTTCACAAAATCTGATTAACAGTAAATTAATTTGTCATTTAATACATAAATCTATCACATTCTGAAAAAAGCACCATGATTTCTAAGCGCTTTGCTTTCCGAACAAGTTAGAGAACCACTACTCTGGGCAATCAGGAGACACCAAAGGGCTTTAAGTACAGTGGCATTTATAAAGTTCTCTTTGATAGCATGAAGAATTGATATCAATTCATTCAACAAATAACTGTCCTGAGTGTATACCAGGCTCCATGCTGTCACTTAGCCTGGGGAGAATTTCTGGAGTCTCCCATCTCCCTTCCTTTGCTCCTCTTCCCACAAATGCAGGCATGTGTCTTGATGTCGTGGACAAAGCATAAACTCCATTTCTGTCGTTACGTGGCCTTGAGAAGTTGCTTAAATTTTCTGAGTTTCTGTTTTATGAACCCCAGAAATGGGTGTACAAATACCTATCTTCCAAGGTTTATAAAGATTAAGTGTGCCTGGCACCTAGCAGGTACTTAACAAATGTTAGTTCTGGGTCCCTCTCCATGTCTCTTTAAAACCTAATCTCAGAATACACCTGCCCTCAGTCGTCGTGTGAACCATGAGTCAGTGTCTTCCCTCTAGAACTATTTACATTTTAGTTTTAGAATTTCTAACGGTGGGTTGAAAGACTGAATTCTGCTTGAAGAATTTTGAGCAAGGGAAGCTGGTAGTTCAACCCGCTGGGAGTCAGGATTGCTCACACTATTAATATAAACACAGAGCTAACAGGTCATGCCAAGGACACGGTCAGTGGTGAAGTGTGCACTGGGATTGCCACCTCTTTACAAACGGTCATCAGGGACTCAAAGGAGGTTTGTCGTGTGAAACTTCCCTTTCTGTTTTAAAAATCTGAGCATTACCATATAGACAGAGATTCTCACACTCCAGATTCACTTAAGAATCTTCTGGGGAGATGTTTAAATGCAGATTCTTGAGCCCCACCTAAGACTTTCTCAATCAGAATCTCTGAAAGTCGGGCCAAGAACGATGCATTTTAACGCGATCTCCTATCTGATTCTCACAGAGATGGATCTTGGACGGTCCTTTCATAAGACCTGGAAGAAAGTACAGTTGACCCTGAACAACACAGGTTTGAACTGTGCAGGTCCACTTACTTGGAGATTTTTTTCAATAGTAAAAACTACAATACTATAGGATCTGCAGCTGATTAAATCTATAGGTGCACAACCAAGGATACTGAGGGCTGACTGTAAGTTATGCTCAGATTTTCTTACTCAGAGTTTTTCACTGTTGGCACCCTTACCCTCCTGCATTGTTCAAGGGTCAACTGTATGTACAACTGGGTGTTAGACAGATAAGGGTTTAAATCTTAAGTCCACACTAACCAATTAGGCGAC